ACTTTACCTAGCGAGCTTACTCAAAATAGTTAAGACTGTTAACAGCAATGGTCCGGTCCCTGCCGGCGCGACGAACAAGCACGGTGCGACTGGTTCAGTACGAAGACGTGGTGAGAACTTGCCTTTCGATTCGGTAAGTCTATTGGAGGGGATGCGTGAACAATATGGGCAAATGTGTGCATGGTCAAGGATGCGTGTTACCCATTAGGGAATTTAGGGACAATCGATTGTTTTTTGAGCTTTTCAACTTCCGTGTTGAAGTAAGGAGTTACTTACTGGGAAACTGTACTTCAACACTTGGTTTGGTGCACGGAATTTCTCTTCCCTGATTTTAAACTTATCCTAATGCACGGATAAAATATTCGGATTCTGAGTGTGCCGTAATGTGTCTTGCTGTTTTCAGTCGGAAGTGGTAACAAAGTGCGTCGTCCAGCTACTGTTGATCGATCTGGTATATAGAGTTTTCTTTCGAGAGCACTACGACAAGGTTCCATCTGGAGCCGTGGAAACCATCTTGGATGCGTTGCAGCTCAGTTTCAAGTAAATGGAAATGAACATTTTACGAAAATTGAATCAATTCTGACTCAGATTTGCTCATTCGTTCAACGTCCGTCTGGATATCAGGGAGAGGCTGAAGAAGCTCGGTTTTATGCGGGATATGAAGCAGTTACCAGGATTGCTCAAACAAGAGCGTGAAGGTATGGCAATAGTTGAGATGCGGTTTTCACCACCTGAGTGTATCTAACCCCTGGAGTTTGACAGTGATAGCGTTAATGATCATAATTGTACGAATTTGAGTTTTTGCCGGAGTGCAGTACTACTAATCGTTTGGCCACTCGGATGAATGCCAGTATTGGAGTGTAGGTGTAGACCTAGAACTCTGCAGCTCTATTCCTATGCTGGCAGTCAACCGTCTCTATGAATTCTTAGGATTTGACTGTATGTAGGTTGAGCTTGATACACCCGGAAAATCTTCTTTAGTTGATATTGTTTGCCGTTTCCCGAAACTTTGTTGACGATTTTTGGATGTTTTGGCTTCGATATTTCACAGGTATTTGTGTGTACTTTCGGCTGTTGGTGAAGCTTTATTCCACAACGAGCTCCCCAGAATGTGCTGAAAAACTGTCGCAAGTCAGCATGGACGTGGTTTCATCACTTCAACGGAAAGAAAAATTCCTCAAGACACCGCAAGAGGGCGGTCTTGGCACGCCAAAGGCGGCTGATCCGATCAAAGTTATGGAATTTGAACGCGAGGTGAGTATGACAATTTCAGTGTTTTAATGGATTTGATAAGCCGACCGGTGAGATGATTTCTTCCCCATGCGTTACAAATCTGTAGTGGTAGAAAATGATTGCCTCGAAAGGATATATATTCTGGCATGCTGAAAACGCAGCGAGTTTGATCACGAGGAAATTGAAAGATGCAATTGCTCATTGGGGATGCCCTGGATTGTGTCCAGTGTTAGAAAATATGTGCATGTATTCTGCATATACGGTCGTCGTCCGTCTCTCACCGAAATTGTGTTTTAATTTCATTATTACTATGTGTTAACGAGGCACTTGGCCTGCAGGTCGCGGGGTTGATCCCTCTGGTGTCCGATGTGATCCTCGCCTCGCTCATGGACCTATCGGATGACATGTTTGCTGAGAACTGCGCTGAATGGATCTTCCCTATGCTTAGCGATCTCATTCTAGTGGACGATCGAGGGATTCGGAGCAAGGTGAGTTCTTGGCGCATACCCCTCATACTTATGCTAGTTTGGGGAGAAAGGATTTGAAAAGGATGAGCTCGCACATTCTCAAGCACGAATTACTGTCCTTGGGGGACTCTTTGGTATTCTTAGGTTGATTGCTAAGAGCTCGAATCTGAGTCCATTTTTACGCAAATAGTTCATTCTTACATTCCAACTGGAAAATTGCTCGTATATTCCTTTGTGATGATAGTTGAATACGAACTCACTTGAGACACCAAGTTCGAGCTGTGTATCCCAGTGTGAGGGGTGATGATTATCAGATACAGCAGATAATGTCAACTAAGGTGAGAGCAGTCCTCAACAGGGGAACACCTCAGTCCTCGTCATCAGCAGGCCATCAGTGAGGTTTGCTGTCTTTTTATAAGTATTGATATCCCATTACCTGTACTGTCACTTTCAAGCTCTCTTGCTGATCGTGGTGTGCCTTGAGTTGATGGGGAAAATGTGGCATATCGCCGTGGACCAAAGATCCTCCTATCGATAGGATTGGAACACCCTTGAGCTGTGTGATCCGCCTCTGATTTCGTTGATCTTTCTTTTTTCCGACCTCCAGGATTGTTCCAGGATGTCTGAAAATACGGCTCGCATCGCTATGATGGTGGAGTGAGCCAGCATGTGGTGAGCTAGATCATCTAGCCTAGATGATAGATTTGATATCTTCATCGACTCATGTTCAACTTTATGATCTCTCGCATTGACAGCGCGGCATTGTTTTGGGTATCGAGATTTCTATGATTAATAATATTCGTAATCGTCTGCTTGTATTATTACTCATTGCACTTCCTCTCGGAATATGCTCAATCGTGTTGGGTTTCACTTTCTCAACTCAAGTCGTAGTTCAATAATTCCCTTGGTCATCGTCTTTCCTGATGGTTTGTATTCGCCCCGCGGTCCTGTCTGACCTCCCTGCCATGCAGGAATGTAACCTTATGTGTTTGCCCGAGAACTATCAGGTGCGAAAGTGAGGTTGTAATTGGGCCATAATAACTTTCTTCAGATGAAATATTATTTCTATCACATATTGAGCTGGCCTCAATTGCTCTACGTCGCCGAGGATACTGATCGTAAAATAGTTGGATATGTGAGAAGCTCGCTGTCAGCGTTCGTCTTGCAGGGGAACTTTCTAATCGATGCAGGTATTAGCGAAGATGGAAGAAGACGCCGGGTCGGAACCCCCTAATGGCCACATCACGAGTCTCGCTGTGCTCAGGTGGGTGCACTATAGACTATTTTTTTGAATTGTCCCACTATATATCACATTATAGACCCAAATTATATCATAATCCCACTAGCTACTCCTGGGTTCACATATCGACTCTCTGTATCTTTAATAGAATCTCCTCGACAATATCGTTCTGATAGGTTACCTGTCATAGGTATTGTTGTTGTCGTACCATACCTTTTTTCAGGTCACACCGTAAGCTTGGCATCGCCACGAGGCTCATGAAGGCCGCCTTGAAGGCGATGCACGAGACGTTCGATGCGGAATATGTCAGCTTGCATGTAGGTTGCCTAGTTCCCTCGACTGAGAATAGTTTATTGATAATCATCGTGAAGAATCTGATGTCGCAGGTCCGAGTGTCGAACACGGCAGCCCTCACTCTTTATAGAGATACTCTCGGCTTCAAACAACACGATCTCGATAAGCAATACTATGCGGATAAGGTGCGCCTTTATCTTCGGGTTGGATTCACTGAACGGTCGTAGTAGATGGGATAGCCCATTATGATATCATGATTTCATGACAACTTTCCTGGCGGTTGAGGCAGGAAGTATGCAACGCATGATTCCCGCCTCAACCGTCACGAAAAGGCCATTTTTGTGAGGTCATCGTCTGGGTTATGGTTAGCCTTCTCGAGCCGGTATTTGTACCGAAATCCTTGTTGCGATAACACAGCAATTTTGATAGTCAATTTTGATCGCTTCAATCGGAAGCGACACGGGACGAATCGTTTCATATGACGCATCATTCATTTTCACTACAGGAGGATGCATTCGACATGCGTAAATATTTGACTACTGCAGTGCCCGAAGCTGACAAAGATAGTCAAGAGGAGAAGAAGGCAACTGCCGGAAGTAATCCTACGCTGACTGAGGTATATGGTCAACACGTTCTGGATCTCTTAATTACATGCTGATTTTCTCAGAACATTCCTGGAGACGCTGCGGCGAATTAGTTTTGATGAAGCTACGCAAGGAGGAAAGCTGAATTCAGCGATATTGGCATTGACCTGAGGCTATAATAGCCTGGCTATTACGTTGATCGTCTGTTTCTATCCTATGGATACACAATTGCGCTCTATGATTTGCAGAGAAAGCGAGTTTTCTCGTTGGGGATGTTCAAGGATCTACGAAGAAGAAATCATCATTTCTCACCTCGGAGAGGCAGTCCCGTTCGGGTTCATATGATAGCGTTAAACGGAACCGTTGATAGGCCTGACTTTTCTCATGATGACAGTCAAAACATCGATATAGGTTAGGATGGTGTTTGCCAACACCTAAATAGTGACGGATAGCTCAGATGATGTATATCTTGACTACGCGCTTGAGTTGTGCGTGACCGTCGTGAAAGTATATCTTGCATCGACGAACGCAAAATATACTTTGAGAAATCAAGCTCGAATGTCTAGCCGAATTTCAGCAGTTTGACATTCTTGGATGAGCGCTTTGAAGGGGATTAGGAAATCTGATGGTGAGAACAATCTGATTAAAGAGTGTGAGATGGGTCTGATGTGCCTACGAATCATTCCTGTCGAAAAAAGGAGAACCTGCTTCTTCAACTCCAACAACGTTGGTAGTCACGATGCTCCGCATCATGCCGCCCATGATGATATGAAAGGGTGAAGGTCGCTTCCCACTTGAAGTGATCTTCCTGTAGCACTTGGTTCGCCCGAGTGAAGGCTTTTCCGGATGGCCACTCGGTACTCCTGCTATTGTATGCGGAGCAAGGTCTGGCACTCGGCCACTTCTGAAACCTCAGTTATATCGAGGTTGCTACCGTGGACGTGCCTCTGAAGTCACCTTGCGCGGTCCTCACAATGTAATGTAAAAAGTGTGAATTCGGTGGCGGTCGGGATTCCACGTGTCTTAGTGTCATAACCGACGGAAAAATAATAAAACTCGTTTCTAAGAGTTCATTCATTCATGTCATCTACTGTCGATAGACTATTAAGTCGAAGATTTATGGCCATAAGTCTCTCACAATGGGAATTTTAGATCCCCCCTGTGAGATTATATCAGCTCTATGAGAGCACATTATGAGTTCAATTGGATGGTGTTTACAAACACCTCGAAATAATAGCTGGAATTTAGAGACATATATCTTCATTATTACGATCTCACATCCTGCTTTCCCGATGACATCACGACCACAGGCTTCTCCAGAAACAGATGCCATTGATGTGAGGTGGAGAACTTCTCTGATAATTCTGATGGACACATAGGAACGGCAGTGAGAAACCCCACGGGTTGATAGTAAGGTTGATACCCAATTCCCTTAACTATGCCCTTCACGATGAGTACGACCAATGGTCGTACTCAATGAGTACGACCATTGCTGCGGTCGACCAATACGAGACAGTCAGTCTGACTTTTCGAGTTTTCGTTACAGCTATTACGAACAGTTTACGAACAGTTCAGCAAATATACATCTTCTGAACTGTGCGTCATTTTGATCGGCCATGGCGATCGCGAGAGTAGATCTTGTGCTTACGTATGGTCGTGGCACGATGCCTCACCATACGGGACAAGATCTGGCACATGGCCACTTGCGAAACCTCAGTCATATCGAGGTATCTAATGCAGATACGTTTCTGGAGTCATCCGTGGTGCTATGGACAATCTGATGGAAAAAAGGGCAAATTGCGTGCCGGTATTAATTGTACGAGACTGATTAAAAAATAGTAAACTACCACTCCGTCGGGAATTCACCTAGTGCTTCCCTGGTGCCATAACTTTGGCGAGAATTTGATAGGATGGTGTTGACCAACACCGTGAAATATTGACGCACAGGTCAGAAAATATACATCTTCTGAACTGTGCGTCATTTTGATTGGCCATGGCGATCGCAAAAGTAGATCTTGCGCCTACGTATGGTCGTGGCACGATGCCTCACCATACGGGACAAGATCTGGCACATGGCCACTTTCGAAACCTCAGTCGTATCGAGATATCTAATGCAGATACGTTTCTGGAGTCATCCATGGCGTTAATGACAATCTGATGAAAAAAGGGTAAATTGGGTGCCGCTAAGGATTCTACGAGTCCGACTAAAAATGGTAAAATTGCCACTTTGTCGGGAATTTACCTGGTGTTTTCCTGGTGGCATAAACTTAGCACGAGTTTGATACCAGCTTTTGGCCTCTGCAATAGCGAACACAAGAGGCATGCTGCTCAGTCCCGGTTGTATCACTTGTTTCATTATCCAGAATACATTAAGGCTGACCCCCAATTTTCTCAGCAATTTCCTTCACGATGAATCCGGCTATGGTGTCCACCAAACCTTTCTGAATTCGAACGCTCGTCTACACCGCATTTCCAGGCCTGGCAACGAGTCCAGATGCAATCGTTGCATGATCATCATGCCATGATGCAACGATGCACTGACAACTCAACAATACACACATACATGTGTGAGGAGAAAGAGCTCAGCCAACGGACAATAGAGTTTGCACTGTACTATGCAGAATCATCATGTGCTGTGAGATTGAGTGGCTGTTCTTTTTTCTTAGGATTTCCGGGAAAAACGGAAGGCGAGCTCTCATGACCCATATTATCTGCCGAGTAACTTGATAAAGACCGGTCACCGATCCATCATCAAGGCGAATGCGTCGATGACTGGCATGACTAAGATAGCAACATGACGATGGGCAACGGCCATGAAGCAGCCATGAAGCTGGTACTAAGAGCTGTTAGGGATCTCTATTGAGGAACTTGGAACATCGGAAGCGCTCTCAGCAACTATAAGATAGGCTCCATATTATCGAGTATCAATGATCATTAATCTATCAATGGGTTCATTGATGATCCACGTCCAGAATTTGCACTGTGAAAGTTCCAGGATGGTTCCTCTTCTGAATCATATCAAATTGTGACTGCGAACTGCCTTATTCAAAGAAAGGCAGCCCTATTCTAAAGACCGCGCTGCTCATGTAGTTGCACGGAATATCACTGATCATCGTTCTTCAATCATTCGAGGTAGTGATGATATGATGACTGTTCAAATTAGTCCTCGTTCAATTATTATTCAATCCATGATCTTACGAGGGATAATTTGTTGGCGAGCGAGAAATATTTTGCGCTGAAGAGTGATGCCGCCGCGGCTTCTCTACCGAAAGGTTGTTAGATGGCACATTTCCTCATGCGCGCCCCTAAATTCCTCGCTCCGCGCAGCGTCGAAGGAACCTATTCTGAGCCGAGTCGCCTCCGATGTAGTGGTGCAGCAGCATGAAGGGCGTGGAAAGCCTCTCAACACCTTCGATGGCCATCTTGGCACACAGTGACAACTCTATTAACTTTTCGTCGATAAGCAATAGCAGAAAGTTAAAAACTAAAATGCTTAGAAGAGCTATGATCACAGATAACCGTCGTGAGATGGTTGCTGCGTATAATGCTCCTTTAGATGATAATACTATTCAAACATTAGAAGAAGTGAGAGAAGCAAGCGCTGATGATGTAAGATTATTTATAACTTCCATAACACCAGCTGAAACTTCTGAAGCTGCTAATCAAGCCAATCAATATCTGTATGTTGGTTTTAATATGAAATTATTATTCAATTTTACGCATAAATACAAAGAACTAGCGCAAATCAGTGATGAACAATATAAGAAAGATATAGTTGAAATGTGTTCTTTAGCTCTACTAAAAGGAAATAATTTATCCAAGATTACTGAAAGAATCAATGAGGCTGCTAGGATTAAAGTAAATCAGTTCATACAGCGTTATCATCTGAGATCTAATGTAAGAAATAGAAAATTTGACATTGCTTTGACCAGGATCCTCAGTATATTCTCTCCTATTGCATCAAAGTTGATGGTATCTACTAATCATAAGAAAAAGAGGCCGGCATCGGCTAGCAGGAAATCGGTGATGAAGGCCATCTACAATAAATGGGAACGACGACGTGAGGGACAAGGTAGAACCGGGAAAAACCTGGCTAGTATACGGAAGTTCTGCGAGGATCATTCAGTCAGGCCTCACTCTGACGAAGAAGCCTATTGCGTTAGGTATGGGACTAAGACTGGTACGTACTTTGTATTTTCATGCCTCAAAAAACTGTTGGAGAATACGCAGGGAGAAAACTTGGTGCTTACCTGCGACCACACCGACGGCCTGAGCTGGTTTAGGCTGACAGCACTGGTGGTAGGCACCCTACATCCGTCGGGCCAATACAGACCGGTATGTTTCGCCTTAACCAACAATAAGAAGACCGCGTCCGCAGCCGCCGTCTTCGCCTGCATCAGGTAGCAAGCAGAGGCTCTTGGTGTTGCATTTCGGCCGACAACGATTCTGGCAGACGGAGCAGAATGCTTCACGAAGAGAGACCACTGGTAGAGATTAGGAGATTAGAACCATAGGAGATTTTCGCCCTTAAACGCCCAGTTCAGTCTCACTGAGACTGAACTGATCATACTGACAGTATGATCAGTTCTGTCGAGCGGGGCGGCTATGCCACTACTCCAAGACTTACATGATGGTACAATCGGATGTAAAAACGAATGACATTACAAATTTTGTAATACAAAATCATTTTAGTCGGTACGGCTGGAGTGGCGGCGCTACGAAGTCGGTACGAATCATTGACGTCGGTACGGCGCTAGTCACAGGACTGGTAGTTGAAACAATATGGTCACAGGACCACTAGTTGAGGACCATTAGTAGAGAAAGCATACATACAGGTGAGCCTGATAGTCAGAAGTAGTCGTGATTGTCAGTAGTAGTCGTGATAGTCAGTAGTAGTCAGTAGTAGTCGTGATAGTCAGTTGTAGTCGTGATAGTCAATAGTAGTCGTGATAGTCAGTAGTAGTCGTGATAGTCAGTAGTAGTCGTGATAGTTAGTAGTAGTCGTGATAGTCAGTTGTAGTCGTGATAGTCAATAGTAGTCGTGATAGTCAGTAGTAGTCGTGATAGCCAGTAGTAGTCGTGATAGTCAGTAGTAGTCAGTTGTAGTCGTGATAGTCAGTAGTAGTCAGTAGTCAGGCAGTAGCTCACCCGGGTGGTACCTGGACTTATTTGTAGTGGTGAATCTCAAATCATATGCCTATCGCTCTACGTCCTCCAGCCAGGCGTCAAGAGCAGTGTGGACCTAGGAAGGAGACATTGTTCTCACCACATACAACACACCCCCAGTAGTACCGTCTCTTCCTCGGTTCAAGCGAGGCTACTCAGTCAACCTTCGATTCACAATGCTCACGGGCGGTGAGAGCCTTTCTGCATAATCGCAGCTGAGGGAGAGAGTCTACTAATCCATTAGAGGTAGATACTACATCCTGAAGGAGGTCGAACCCCGCGGCAACGTGGTATCCACGACATGCAGTCGTCACCCTGGTGAGAACACGAGACTCCAAAATTTCTCTCGTGACTAGAGTGGTCCACCGTCCAACCTAAACAAATCAGAGTCAGTGAGACAATCTAACGAGCTCCCGCTCTCCCGGATCGTGTGACAAACTGCCACTAGTGGGCTGTCAGCGTGATCGGTGTTAGCCAAACGATATATGCCATAATTTCCACGGTGATAGTGGTTACACCGACTGAAATGATCAAGAACCTCTCCAAGACAGAAGAGTGACGAGTCGTGAAACACGTTATGCCGTATATAGCTGGCATAAAGTTATCCGTGCTAGTAGAGAGAGAAGGAAATTTATACTTGAACTCCAGACTGGAGTCTCCAGTACGATAGCGATAGCGTAAGTAGCTAGAAAATATTAGCTTTCAGTAAATGATGCTGTTACGTGAGTATGCTTTAAAGAGTTTTAGCGTTCTCTGCTTCCAATACCTCCCGTAGCGAACGTTCTCGTTTACATATTTTGCACCCCCATCTACAACTTTTGGATTGTGCAAACTTATCAATGTAGCGGTATAACCACGTGAAGACCCCTATAGTATAGGGCCTATACTGGCCAGTTGTACGGCAGGCCTGATTCAGTTCGCCTACATACCCGCTCACGTGCCCCAATTTGGGGCCCCCAAAGATCTAGAATGAGAGCGATTTGGCACTCTCAACTTCCTTGGCATGACGGAAAATCAACGTAGACTCTACCTAATACGGGGACACTGGTCAATAGTCCTAGAAAGCAAGTATAATGGTCGTACACCGAAGAGAATGGTAAGAGGCAAGCATGAGTAATTTAGGGGCGGTTTGAGTACTTTAGGGGCGGTTTGAGTACTTTAGGGGCGGGTTGAGGAATTTAGGGGCGCAGCGAGAAATTTAAGGGCGGGCATGAGCAGGCGCCGTTAGATGGGACCTACAAAAGCGTTCTTTATTCATAATAGCACGAGTGCGATAGTGCGCTTTTGTGGACCAACGGTAGCAGACTGATCCATGTCACCTCTGAAACTATTTTTCTGATGACACGGGCATCTTTTATTTTTCGTTTCTGACCTACGGGCATCTCATCAATAATGTCCGTAAGTTACGGACCGTAACGTCTCTCAACAACAACTTGTTGTACTCTGGGGTTAGCAATCGATAATCGCATAATAGTTATCCAAAGTCATGTATCGATTTTTGATCACTTTCACTCAGTTTACTAAATTAGCAACATGCCTAAATTAAAGAAGGGGAATCAGGACTATTCCCTACTCCCAGTGCTACTAGCATTCTGGTTGGCGGCTCCCATAGGGGCTGTCATTACTTTCTACTTGCTGCAACGAGACCTGCAGGCTCTCTATTCAGTGAGGGAAGTACTTCTTCGATATAGTAGAGCTCATTGATAGGTTGAACTGATAGAATTCCTTGCAGCTGCTGTTTTTGGCCTAGTTGGAATCAATCCGGATAGTAAAGGGCCGATTATACTCGGATGTATCTCGGCCACGCTTGGTAATATGGAATTCGGTATTATTACGAATATTGTGAAATTAGAAGAAGTTATATCAATGCTGGCCTGAGCAGTGTGGGAAAATATGCACGTGGTGTTTGTGACAAATTGCCACTGACAAGATAAAAATTCTGAGAAAATTTGTTATGGTTTGTGTACACTTCTTCCTGAACTCTGTAGTTAGTGAGGAAACTCAGCTGGGGGAAGCGAATATGTATTCGAACACTGGACCTGATTAAACTAATCTCAGGTACATTTCTCGGAGTTGCTACTGCATTCACAGCAATGGGAGTGTGTATACCAATGCAGGCCTTTGTAATACGGGAGGGGAGGGTGCTGGATTTGAACCTGGGTGAATCGATGCAGATATGCGCATTGGCCGTTTTCCACTATGGGGAGTTCGTGTGCAACTACTGTTTCCAGGATCATGAGAGTATAACGTAAGTGGGAAATAGTATCCCATGAGTCAAATTAATATTAACTAGCTGACAGCATTACTCCTATCAGTAGTCATTGGGACATGTCGTGAATGGCGATAGGATTGTGAATGATGAAAAAACCAGAGCATCTGATTTAGGGGTGAATCAATGAGCAGCGCGAGTGAACGCACGTCGGTTACGACCTTTGTGACTGTAGAATTGCTGTTATTAAATATTATCATCCGTATGCAACACCTGTTCGACTAGACATGGAGTAGGTGGCATATAGATGTAGCTGCACGGTCAGTGTTCGTCCCATAGAACATAAGGCATGTACCAGGTACATGCAGTCGGTCGGTCAGTACTGCTCTTTATTCAGTAGTGGAATAGGCACTATCGATGATATTGTATCGTGCAGATAATAGTGATGCAGGTACAGCACGTTTCTTATCAATAATTCCGGTGCCTTCACAATAGCCCTATCGGCGGCAGCTCTTGAGTACACCATCATGGGTGGAGATGGATTGGGTTTACTAGGGAAGATTGGACTGATAATAACTATAGGAGGACAGTTACTAAGATGGGCAGCGTTCATGAGGTATTAGTTACAGGGGTACATTATTGACTCCGTTTATCACCGTGATATGAAAAACACTGACGAATATTTTACATGATTTCCCTTTCGTGTTCTCCGTTACTTTTTAGCGTTACTTGCGACCTGTCCATCCGATATGGGTAACCGCTTTGGTCATCATGCGACCCGCATGATCAGAGAATTCAGTATTCTCTCCGAATCAGAAAAATGAGCCTCGAGATTTTAGGTAGATGAGAACGCGGTATGTAGGAGTATTGCTGTAGGAATTTTCCCGTGCTATGCATCCACATGTCTATAGAGGACCACCTCGACGAGGAGTGACGACTGCCGGACCACAGGCATTTGACATGTCTGATATGCTGCATGCCTTGTCCAGAGCAATACGAAGTGCATCGTATTTGTAGCGACCGGTCTGAGAGAGTTTAGCTGAAGCACTAGCGTTGAACGATAGCCATAGACGGGAGGACGTGACAGCTGCGTGGGTGAATTTGGTTTCCCCAACAATCGCATACAAGGCTGCCTTGGTTTGGTATGACTGTCCGGTATGTCGTTATACTCTACAAGCTTCAACTTACCGGATTATCGTCTTATGAGTCTTGCTGAGCGAGAGGGTGATGGCTTTGGCCTACCACAGTGATTGAGGGTTGGAAGTGGAATGTCGTGGAGGATGAGCTTGCCGTGTGTGTCTTCTTGTCTCATGTTCCGCTTCATTTACGGCTACACTGAGGAATTCATGAGCTGGCTATGGGAACGCCTGCATCACAGCTTGCTACGACGCTCGCAATGATACTGTATCACACGTCAAGAGAGGATAATCGCACATATTTGAGGACTGGAAAGTATGTTTTGGGATTAAATCGTCTCTCTAGACACGGGGTAAGTTACCACATATGATCAACTGTCGATCAAACAGGATCGATCCGAAACAGCGATATCTCTGAAAAGTTCATGCTGTGGGCTCCAAGACAGGAAAGAATGAGCAATGAAGCTCGGTTGCCGCGGTTATCAGACATCATAGGGTTCCGACTGGAATGCTCATTGCTTCTTCGCCCACGTATGCCGGTGAAGACGCCTTGCAAGACCTTGCATTGAGACGCCGTTCCTGGGCTCTAGTTTAGAGAGTCCTAACAGCTCAACCCTGAATGAGCCTCATTGAATGATGCGATCGGGAACGTTTGAAATGTCACGATACACCTCCCCAAGAAGTATTCAATCAGCTGTATGTTATTTCTTTCATCTGATTGTGCAGAGTTGAGCCGGACAGCTTCTCGTGATATCCTTTGTGGATGGGAGAGGTCAAGGCGTGGGGGAATAACACATCGTGCAATCTTCACTCAACTTGAAAGTGAAAAATTAGCAATGGGTTGTCACTGACGACTTGTCAGTGAATACGCGGTAGCGAAAATTTTTCACTTTGCAACTCCTGCTTTCTCAAACGAGATGATTTCCAGCGGGCTGCGCAGTTTCAGAGGATTAGAAAATGCAATTTCTGATTCTTGACTTACCTCGCTGCTTTCAGCGCTGGATCGAATTTCACTCATCGAATAAGATTACAAAGGGGCGATGCACAGCAGCTTATCACAACAGGAGCGTAAGAGTGTTATACTATAGGGATATGTATTGTATCGTTCTGTGAGCAGATATGAACTATGCCGACATCCAGGCTATAGTGGATGGTTTTGGTGGGCAGTTGGAACGCAGTTGTTGTTGTAGTAGGGGGAAAAACGTTTGTCACGATTTGGCAATAATCGTTTTGATTGAGAGGCGTTGTGATGACGATAAGGACGTGAGGTAGTTGTGTTATAGAGCATCAGACGTAGTCGTACCGCTGTCGTAGTCACGTTGTATTTGAGCACATGCTTTAAAACGTGCGTGAAAACGATACTTTATCGGATTTAATTACCCTCAGAGGTAATCGTTTGTGTCTACTTTTGTATACGATATGTGCGTGGTGGTTCTTCTATGAGCGGCTAAGGTTCGAGGAGCGGACGCTTGAATATTTTTACAAAGGAGAGTATGTGAGGTAATAAGAAGATATGGCTGTTTTGGAAGTGAGTGAAATCGTCCGATACAGGACTTTTTCGCGCCAAACGTTGAAACGACCTGTGAGAGGTGGGAACATTCTGAAACGCGTATATCAAGGCTGCTGCTTCGGTGGATCGATCTACGGTTAGAATTAATGATTGTTTTTAGAAGCATCACAAGCGATTTAACACGGGTTAAAACAGTTGACCTGTTCGAACGATTTCAATCCACCTTTCTCGCTGAGTGTTGATCTATTTTTGCGAGTGACAGCAAATCGCTTTAGTGCGGCATTCGTTTGTGGTGGTGGTGGTGAATCACCACTGATGATCAGTACATGTTCTCTTTCCTTAGCTGAGCTTGGGAGTTTTCTCACTAGTTATAAAAGTTTACGTATGAATTCGGGTAGAAGTGTACAGAAGCCAACGAGAATTTCCCCGAAATTTCCTCAAAAATTTCTGATTAACTATGAAGATTTATTTTATGCCCAGATATCGGCACGCGGTCGGATGCAGGATTCCTCTTATGGACCTAGCATTGCATAGAGAGCGTTTGAGGAGAGGCACTAGAGAGCAATGACGCCTTTCTATGGGAATAACGTTGTTGTGTGGGAGTTGTGGACGATGAGACTCGCCGTTTGTCGCTGGGCTGTATTGGTAGTGATCAGTTACAATGGAGTCTTACCCTAGTGATATGAAAAACAGTAGTGGAAAATATATTTCACGGCTACTGCATAGTTTCGCGAATATCGCGTTTTTCACAGAGTATTACGCTTCCACTTCACGTTAAATGGATGAAACTCCAATATATTAAGAACAACTAAAAATATATAGTAGCGGTCGCTATTGAGCTTAGTAATAACTACTATAACATAAATATCAAATATTTCATCATTAGCTATGTTTACCAGACTTATCATCTTATTAATGATAACAATTATTGAGGTGCTCTCGCAGATTTTCGTGTTTTTGTCTATGAAGATAGCATGAAATGATTTGAAGTGAATATATAATTTCTATAGTTTTCCCGTTATTGTTATTTGTTCATTATGGCGATGCACGCCGGGCAGTTGATCTCGGAGAATAAACCGGATCCTGACGAGATATTGCAGCTGCCAGAGGGAGATGAGCATTTACATGGTGGAGAAAGAAGGATGTAATGAGAGGAAAATTTTGGGAAAATTTTGGAAAAATTCTTGTTGGTTTTACGAACATTTTTACCCTAATTGTTGTATAAACTTCTGTAATTAGTAAGTAAAGTCCTGAGCTCAGCTGAGGAAAGCGAACATATATTGCTTGACTGAGAATGAGGATAATTTGGTAAAAACATGGAATTTTTTCCCGTGTTTCTGACATTTCATATTACTTATTGTTGATGAATAATTTATTTACCATTTTTATTTTCATCTGTTCTCATTATTCTGTGGATGCCCCATATTTATACATAATTAGTAATAAAAGGGCAACCTTGGTTAACCACATCTTATTATTGATATTTACAATCGGTGTGGGAAAATATGCACGTAGTCAACTACATATGTAGGTGAAATTTGTGGAAATTTCGAGGAATTTTTATTGGCTTGTGTGCGTTCATACCCGAATTAGTATGTAAAATTCTATAATTAGTAAGTAAACTTCTGGAATCGGCTGAGGAACACGATCGTTCATTCCAAGTCTGTATATTCCAATATATTTATAGGGGTAGATATATGTATTATCGCGCCATCGCGAGATCTCGTCCGAATTATCGTCTAGTGATAACTGGTCGATTATTCAATCAATACTATGTATTTCTCTATGTGTAGTTATTACGAACCGGAATTACGTCAAGACAATACGGGGACGTTCACGATATGGCTGGAGGATCATACTGCTGCTCACGCGTTAAGATCGGAATTATTGAGAAATAGACAAGTGAAATTCGCGGGGTATAAGGTAGTGGTGATTTGATTATATTGTTGGTATGTATGAGGTGGTGATAGGTTCCTCATCCGTTGGAGAATAAACTGTTGATGAGAGTTCAAGTTACTTCACGTGAGTTGGTTGGAGTTCGTGTCTTTCATGGGGGAGGAGGAGGTTCGAATCCCGCGGAAGTGATTTAAGAGCAATTGTTTTTGAAGGGAATGAGAATTGCTTCTGGGTTTCATTTAGGGTAAACTTTTTCATATTTGGCTTGAAATTCAACATGAATGTCAAGTTCGAGAACGCATTAGTGTCTTTGAGAAAATTTCGTTTCACTGTACAGTATATATTCGGATCTGGATATCATGAAACCCCATAAGTACGGTCTACTTGGTCTGGGCGATTTAACCCGAGTAAAAACGTCGCTAAGCTGCGTGTGCAAGATTGATCTTCGACTCCTCAGAGACTACTCCAGTGGAAGCAATGAAGGAGGCACTAAAGTCGTTGCGGTCAAAGGGAGACCAGGTAGAGTTGTGTATTAGTTCAACGAGGTGTGGTAACGAATTTTTACTCTTCGTATTTAATTATGGATCGTTTGTAATGGTGATAGTAATTTATACGATTTCCACGCGGAATAAGGTCAAGTATAGTTTTTCAGCAGAGCGAAAATCACTAAAAAAATAACGCAAATTTTCTCTACTGGAATTTTTGAAAGAGTTTTGTAGTGTATGTTGTGATTGTTCTTAGTTGGAGAAGGAGTTTGATCGTTCCTTGAAAGCGTATCAAGGGATAGCAGGAGCCGGGGCTGCTACTGTTGGTGCTGGGGGAGCACGTGTGGGCTTCTAAGTTAGAGTATGTCGTATGTTGTTGTGTTTGGTGATAATTTTGGGGAGTGGGAGAAATTTGGTAGTGTGGGAAAATTGTGGTATTATAAAATTGTAGATTAATTTGTATATAAATTGCCGTAATTAGTGTGGAAACTTCTGAGCGCAGGTGAGGGATGCTAACGAACATTCCAACACTGAGTATGAAAAACACGAAAAAAATATAAACAAAATATGGATATGAAAATATCTGTCGTTTTTTTTCCCACACATTTAATGTGCAGTTCTTCACTCCTAGTTATGGTTAATCTCCGACTGCTAGCATTACATTAGAGATGGTTGATTCACTTGGATTCGACTGTGGTGAATTACATTTACATTGAGTGCGATATCAACTGGTGAGATAACGACAAGCAATTTGGAGTTAAAATTATGTTTACGTTTTTGTTGATGGAGGTTTTCGGGTTAAACGAGATTTTGGTGAAGATGCGGTTGGTAAGTACGATGTAATGAGGTATTGTGGTGAATGTAGGGTGAAGAGACTTCAGGTAGGGAGTGGTGAATGTGAGGAGATGCGGTGAGATTATATTATTAATGAATTGAAATGCTCCATCGGATATATCGCAACAGGCTGTTTCGGTGAGGAGGATATGGTGAAGAAAGTTCCCGTTTAGTAATGCTCAACCTTGGTTTGTTAGTGAGGGTTGCATCGCCGGGATAGTCTAGTGGTTATGACGTCTGCCTTACACGCAGAAGGTCGCGGGTTCGATCCCCGCTCCTGGATACAACTTGTATGATTGACTATGTTGTAGACTTGTATCATACAAGTTGTATGATACAATTCTAATCATACATGCATTAATCCGGATGATATTGAAACACTTTGCAAATACCTAACTACGCGCTGATGTATTTCTGCATATTTAAAAATCACTGATCGTTTATGCGGACTTTGCGCCTTCGCGCGCCACGAAAATCGCTGAGTGAATTGTGTAGTAGTGAATTCAGATGGAGGAATTTCTGCAAAGGTGTGGGTGAAAAAATGTATTTCTTGTGCATAGGAATTGTGTTGGGTTAATGATAGGGATAACTACTTAGTGTTGATCTTCCGTGAATGACAGCAGCGATCGTCGGAAAAGAAGGCCAAGTCGGCTATGGACAGACTCAACGGGTAGTTACTGAGAGGAGTTCATTTGAACTTGGGAGTGAAGATTGGGTAGAATTACGGTATTGAGAATTTCATATTGGTTTGCAGAGATGTGTACGGATGTGAGAATTTCACTGCTCTCGGTTTAGTGGTCGTTGAGATGGTAAACTGGCAGTAGGTAGTCGTTGATTTGATAAGAAGTTGAAGCGATGATGATGATGATGATGATGTGCGGAAGGTGTGGTATGGGTGATTCTGGCTGTATATGCTGACTGAGATTTCTCACACAGAGAGAATGGAGTTTCACCCGTTTCACGTGAAGTGGCATAAATGAAGTGAACTAAAACACTTCGCGAATTGCACCGGACAGATCACACCGTGAAAATAGGCAGCATTTCACGTGTTTTATGCGTTATTCGCTGCTTACATGCGTTTTTCGCGAAGTGAAATGTGATAGATATTTTACACTAGTGTTTTTTTCACATCACTAGGGTGAAATTCCAATATGTGGGTTTCTCACATTTCTGAGTGGTCTCATTATGAAGATAGACCTGGAGTTTGAACGCTCTCTCTTACACGCCCAACGAGGTCGAATTTTAATGAGTTCTCAAGATTCAGTGTGTTGGGAAATCTTATGATGAATATCAAAGTTGCATTTTTTAAAGAAAACAGTTTTCTTGATTGTATCGAACAATCGTTTGATTTTTACGAGTGCTTACTCTTGAGAAATGACTTCGCCGAGCCAGAGAAGTGATAAAAGCGTGCTTTCGTCGTCAATGCTCGTTGGTTGATACTAAGTTGGTCAAATTTTTTTTAGTAAAAAACAGTATTTTCTGTATTTTTTTCGTTAGTAAAAAACTGTATTTTCTGTATTTTTCTTTAGCGCTATGCAGAAATAATTTCTGCAGATGTTCTGCAGAAAATAATTCTGAAAGATGTATTTTATCTGGCTCTATTCCATCCGTATAAAGCCAGGTGATGGCTCCTCTATGATCATCGGCTGTGAAAAAAAAGATAAGTAGAGTGGCTACGGTAGGATGGAAATATTTCTGCCAAAATTTTTTGCAAAAATCGCGCGATATTCATCTTGGGACCGTTGAGAATCACGTAATCTGTCGGGAATTTGAATTGCCTCTGCCGCAAAAATTAAGCGTTCGCGAGACGGGTGCATTCCAGTGGGCGGATTTTTAAAATTCCTAAAATTTCAAAATTATCCAAATTCAATTTTTGGGCGCGCGGTGATTTTTTTCTGAGTGATTTTTCTGGGAATTTCCTTAGTTGTGTAGGAATGCTAAGCTTGGAGATTAAAAACGGAAATATATTAAAAAATTTGAATTATGACCGTAAAAAATAATTTTGGTTGTGTTTGACTATTTGATAATAAAATGGAGGTTGTGGGAATCGAACCGGGGACCTTTGGATTACGCAATGGCAGTTGTTGTCTGTACTCGCTTACGTAAATGGATCTGTCTGTTAATCATCTCAACGACTTGCTGTACCTCACAATTAACCAGGACCAGACCTGCTTCGTCATCGGTGAGTCACGCGCGACGAAATTGTAGTGCAAACCGAGATGGCGTTCTTCATTTTGAGATTACGTAACGCT